AACTGTCCGTGCCTTATTCGGGAAAAAAAATTAGGGTCTTCGTTCTTCGGTCTTCGGTCTTCGGTCTTCGGTCTTCGGTCTTCGGTCTTCGTTTTGTAGACATCCCAATGAGGCTTGCAGAACTAGACGATCTTTTTTCTGGTGTACTCGCTAAAAGCGGTTGGAACATTTTTGTGCTAGGTGTACCAGATAACTCCACGCAGGGTCCGACAAGAGCACTAGAGGTATACCTTTGATATGGACGAAAAAGACAAAAGCCCAATTCTACGATTACATTAGACCTTGATTAGGCGGATGTATGCGGTTTTTAAAATAATGGGTAGATATTACTTTTGTCTTGCCTCGGTTGAATTACACAGAGGACAGCTTGCGAATTACAGTGGAGATAAAGCCAGATCATGCTCTCAGAAATGGTAAAAACATTATCGGCTCCTATATTTTCCTGTGTTGAGCGCATTTGCATGGGACATTAAATACTTTTACCGCGGGAGGCTGCATTAACTGAGAGTATTCGACACTAACCGAGCCTGGTGCTTACCGTGGTAAAGATGTCCTCTGGTAAATATCCGTGGATATTTCAGAGAGATCAAAGGAAGCGAGGCGGTTTTTCTTGCTTTGTTTTGCACCGTAGAACAATAGCCAAACTGTTTAAAATCAATACTAACACGCTAATGGCTTTCGTTCGCAAGTTTCGTTCACCCGATTTCTCGCCTCTAAATTTTGCTTTTAAAACCAGAAAAGGCATGGCGCTGTCGAGCACGGTATACGTATACTTCACCAGGAGACCTAACTTTGATTCACTGCGGGATGATCTACTGAAAATGTCATTTACTGTTGTGTGTTTAGCCGCACCGGTAATTGTCAGATGAAGAAAGGAAATGAAACACTTTTTCTTTCTTGAGAATAAAGGTAAAGAAAGGCCGGCACGGACTCCCCATGAGGCTTTCTTGGTCACGTCGTATTATCGCCTTCAAATTATACTTTTGCTTTCACAAGCATATCTTTTGAGGGATTTTCCCTATTTGTAAGAGATGATCAGAGGTTTTGTAAAAATTGTTTTCAGCAAGGGCTGATTGTGTATCAGACTCCAATGTTTCATCAATATTATGATTTAATTTTTTGACCGTCTGGTGGCACGTTGTGACAAAAGGCAACAATCGTTCGTGACCTTTTGGCTTTTGTGTACATGAAAGGGCCGATTGTTGACCCCCGACAGAGTCCTTCCTATGATGTTTTCTGGGTACCCTCATGCTTTGAAACGTTGTTTGAATTTCAAAAGGACCTCTTCAAATGTTTTTTCGAAGAGTTAGTCCGAAGCAATCTTATTCCTTCGCCTTAGTGAGAACATATTTTTCGCCTAATGGGTGGCACGAATTGGGAGGTCTCGAACGGCTTGTCATGGGTTTTGATGTCAAAGATGGAATCTTCAGCGGATTTTTCCCCTTTAAACACTGTGGTATCCACTTTTTATAGTGGATAAATTTCAAATCGCTACTTCAAATCTCTGACTGGCATACCGTGCACATAAGTTGATCAAGTATTAACCGAACATGGAGCCATTTTCAAAACGCCCGCGGTTTTTGTTTGATTCAGACCTAGTTATGTATATTTGCCCGATGATACCGCCAGAGATCGTTGGACTGTGGGCGAAAACAAAATTAACTGTTCCCACGATTGGAAGGAAACGACGATTTAATACCAAAATTTAAAAGGCATAGCGTGGACAAGGCCTCACAGTTATAACACAAAAACAACAGGAAGTGTCAAGGCAACTTTTAAGTTGCGTCGACTGGTTCTCACAGGAAAATGTCACCTTTTTAATTTATTCTGAAGGTGTAAAAAGCTTTGACGGAAATGCAGTTCATCGCGACTCTTTTCATCACTGCTATTATTGTTCCCTCAGTAGTATAAAAAAAGGCAATGATGATTCGCGATAAGAGGTCTTCAGGTCTTCAGGTCTTCAGGAGTGTATCCCAGAACTGATCAGCCTTGGTCGTAAACTAACCTTCTACTTAAGATGCCTCCAAAAGATAAGCGCAGTAATGAAGCGAAACTGTGGTACATTAAAGTGAATTCGGGAGCCGCGTATTTATACAGAGGAGGAAAAAGAGTGGAAAATTTCTTAAACATAATCGGAGCCGAATCATACCAAGACTCATCAGGTTCTGTTGCTGAAGAATCTGGAGCATCACCTCCCAAGAAGAAACTCAAGGTGATTTAAAGTATACAGTATACATTTATTGCTGACATTGGACTCTAAATTCCCATTCAATCCAGGTTATGGCTAAATTACTGATGTATCAATTCACTGTAAGCCTAAAATCTATCATCAATTCTTCTTTCAGCTCGAATTCACTCCAATAAATTCACGGGGCGCGTATCGGTTTGGATCTGTGAACATTTGGGCTCGTAGTATTTAGCAACAGCCAGTTAGACGTACAACAAAGCGATCTGGCAAAGTTACCACATTACGAGGGAGCGTTTTTAACCATAGTTGAAGCAGGGGAGCAGTGCGAGGTAAGATAAAAATCTAGGTGAGACTCTCCCGCAACCGTTCGACTATCGAGTGACTTGGAAAGAAATGAATTAAGTGACGAGGCATTGTTATTTTAATTGCCCTTGTTAGCATAAGACGTTATGTTTCTTGTCGCCTTCCGTTGTTTTAATTTTCCGAAAAGTTTCATTTTAACCGGGAAATGTTATAAGTTAAGTTAAATGAACTTAATATGAACATTTACTTCATTTTTATGATAAAAAATCATGTTACGTTCCAGTTAGGCTGAGAACGGCACGGAAAAATCGCCTTTAACGAATACATGCAGGATTTTACTACAATCCTAATCAAATCCTGTTTTTTGTGGATAACTTTTAGTTGTTTGCATTTACTTATTACGACTCATATTTTTCTCTTCACAGAATGCTGATGATGTAATTAGCACTGTTTCCCGCATTAATTTCTGCAAGCTTACATCATTTAACATTGTTTTATTTACAATGGTTGAAGGTGTAAAAAATCTAAAAGAAAAAATGCTAAAAGAGGGCGCTACTCTGGCACAGCATGGCTACTTTTACGTCCAAAATAAACCTCCAACTACAGCACAAGGTAAGATACTTCTAGAATTAAACAACTGTCCTCAGAAGAAAGTTTTAAAAACCTCATAGTCAACAGAATTGAATTATTTGATGTACTTGTAGAGTTAACAAAAATATATATCATGATTCTATAATCTGAACTTGTTTTAAACTTTCTCATTGAGAGCGTATTACATGCACAATTTATAATAAGGTTTGGTGAATTAAAACGTTCCAGAAGTGTCGAAAGAAATTAGTAAGTGTATAATACGCATATATCATATTGTTGATACTCATTTTAATTTTTTTAGGTCCGTATTTACAGGAAGCCTTGGAAACCTTTGTAGTTGGACACTGGTCTGTCTCAAGGCAAATAACCTCGAGACATTTGTCCGTCAGTAAAGAAAATTTGATTTTCCTGAATTCATTCCCAGCACAAGGCTACACATGGCTTGTAGAAAACCTCTCCAGAGAAGGGGACGTGGTTATTGATGCTGGAACCCCCAATGGCTATGCAATGGTGGCTGCGTTGAGGAAAGGGCGAAGCGCAGTTAGGATAGACAGTACCGCTTTGCCTTCCGAACAGGCAGCGATAGAGACTAAAATTTGTAGTCTTGTATCTTCCTAGTTTATATGTCAATGACAATCTACTAGTTAGTAAACAATTCAATTGACAAAGTTTATGTTATCAAAAATTTTTTTTGAGTGTAAGTCTGATTTGTAATTTGAATTACCTACTCATTAAAGCTATGGGTCCCGTTGGGAGCCCTTAGATTCCAATCGTGAGGTTCATTTCACTTGTTTTATTTAAAAGCATGGAAAAAGCGTCAGGATGAAGAGTATTGTTGACGTATATAGAAAAACATTAAAAAACTAGAGTTGAAAATGACGGTATAGATTAGGACCCTTAAAATTTCCTATCTGAAACTACTGCAGAATTTCTTCAACACTACACATAACATGGTGCAGAATTTCTGCAGCACTTGACGTTACAGCGTGCAGAATTTCTGCAGCACTTGACGGTACATCGTGCAGAATTTCTGCAGCACTTGACGTTTCATCGTGCAGAATTTCTGCAACACTTGACGTTACACCCTGCAGAATTTCTGCAGCACTTGACGTTTCATCGTGCAGAATTTCTGCAGCACTTGACGTTACACCGTGCAGAATTTCTGCAACACTTGACGTTACAGCGTGCAGAATTTCTGCAGCACTTGACGTTAAATCGTGCAGAATTTCTGCAACACTTGACGGTAAATCGTGCAGAATTTCTGCAGCACTTGACGGTACACCGTGCAGAATTTCTGCAGCACTTGACGTTACATCGTGCAGAATTTCTGCAGCACTTGACGTTTCATCGAGCAGAATTTCTGCAGCGCTTGACGTTACATCGCGCAGAATTTCTGCTGCATTTGACGTTATCCAATGCAGAATTTTAAATAAACCAGGTTATCAGATTTTTTAAATATTATGTTAAAATCATAGACTTTATTGTTCATATATTAAACGTTCAGATAATTTTGGGCACTTTCACCATGTTTAACAGACCATGCAGTGGAAAATGGAATATTTGTATGGGTAAAATGCCTCGACATTTAACTGTCCGTGGAATTAAACAAAGTTTTGCCCTTTTGAAACGACTCTTTTCCTTCCTCCGTGAAAATCGAAGTCTTTCTGGTGCTATCATTTATGAGACATTTCCGTGCTTTCTGCCTAGATAGTGCTACTTTGAGGTCACCCTCCCTCTAGGTCTTTAAAAAAAAGGTGTTATTCAACGTATTTTTGCGGAATTGACACTAATTTTACTCCTAAATAAGCCATTTTTGGCGGAAAACGCTATTTTGGAAAACACAAAATAGTTTGGAAAGCGTTGCAACCTTTACGAACGTGTAGACGGACAGAAACCAGACCCAAATTCCGAGCCAAAACCTGAAAAATCTTCCATGTTTCCCGGTATTGTGAAGATGCACAGAGAAGCAAACACATCGGAAAATGACGACCTTTTTATTAAAAACAAATTCAATCGGTCGGATGTCACCAATATGACATCTGACATCGACTTGGACTTGTTATATGCTGATTCATCAGTTCTTAACAAGAGCAACGGCGTGGTAACAAAAGGTGAAGTCCATTTAAATGAACAACTAAATTTCGGAGGGCCAGTTCAGTTTAAGAAAGGATTCACAGCCGACATGATGAAAGTTTCTTTCACGAGTAAGGTTACTCTTCTTGATGATGAGAAGTACCGGAAAAGCTATCTTGAAGACGAGGAACTAGCAGATGTTAATGTTCGTGATTTCGTCAAACTCGTTGCACCAAAATCTGACCAAAATTTCAGGGTGAAAACCTCTGAGAGAGAGGCTCTGAATGAGCCTTCGGTTGATTCAAAGGAAATGAACAGCACGTCCGCTGACGATGAGCGAGAGACAAACTTGACAACAGCAGCGCACGACTCAAGACACCAGCGAAGTCGCAGACAAAACTTTGTTCAAAAATTCCTTAATGCTCCTCGAAAGATTTCGTTCACACTCTTTAAGAAAAAAATTATAGGCATAGATATGAAAGTGGAGACCACTGTTCGAATTGAATCAATTAAAAAGCTAGTCAACCTTAAGCTTGACAAGACCGAGTTGTATTTAACTCTGCATTTGGGAGCCAGTGTAACAGCGCCACTTCTCCGAGAATCCATTGACACCACTAAGAAAGAAACAAAGAAGATAAATGGACTAAACGTCGAAGTTGTAAGTGCTTGAATTTAAAATGTCGATGTTAGATCGGGCCTCTATTTCGGCAGGTTTTTTCTGGGAGGCAGCTCACGGTTTGCGAAAAACAAGGTCGACAAAAGCACTAGCATGGAAGAAAGTAAATTGCACCAGTGGCTCGTGTGCCTTCATTTACGTGTATTAGATTTTGAGTTTTACTTATTTCAATAGACGCTATAATGACTGCTTTTAAACGATTCTACGATAACAGGATAATATTGAAACCTTTAGCCCCACATAATTTAGCCGTAAAAAATTGCCTGTCAGGGAGGTAGACGACGACCACGACCGAATTATAAACTTAGGCTTTTTGCGCAGGAGGCCCAAGTAATGACCGCACTGTTTGAAAAAGTTTATGTACATGTAATGCAATTTACTGGTTTTTTTTTCTCTTTTCTACAGAGCCACAGTATTCCGATATTTTGGGTCGTCAGTCTTGATGTGGATTTTATTCTTAAGCCATCTTTTAGCATCTCAGTGGACCCAGGCTCACTCTCACCATCCCAGTTGAACGTAATGGTGAGTAGATATAACTCAATCGATGGTTAAAATGTAATGTAAACAATGATTGACATATCTGGGCGCATTGCGTGTTTAATCATCAGATAAGAAATTTTTCTGTTACTCTAATATGCAACGATGTTGTTGTTTTAGCATTAACTTTGTCGTAAGAGTATTTACATATATTTGCCGTTCAAACTGGAACACCATGATGTATGACGCAGAGTCAAATAGGCAATGGTTATTTTAACCTCATTTGGCAAGAAAAAAATAGGTGGAATGGTAAAAGAGTCTAGTTCTTGTTGTAAGGATTAGCTTCCGAGGATAAGTTACGGCTTTTTGTCACCATTATGGAGAAGTACATCCTGATTTTCGTGTACGTTTGGGCTGAGAGCAGAAGTGTTGGTGTTCTTAACTTCTCCACACCTTATTTCAATAAATACACCTTAGGGCGAAGGTTTCCAAATAATACGTGCGGATGTTTTGCGAATTGTACGGCGAACTTCCGAGTGCCGCTGGGGTGAAGAGTAATACGAGCGATGAACAAAATATCCGTTCATATTATATGCTAACCCAAAGAACAAGGAATTCATTATTCCTTTGTTATTTCATTGTCTAGTATTTTGGGTTTTGATTTCTTAAATGCATCAGCACTATATCGATTGAATAAGGCGTGCGCGAAAGACGAAAACAACACAAACGAAAAGCGCTCTTCATGATAAAAATCTACGCACTTTAAAAAATCATACATATCGCGGCAAGGGTGAAAAATTTGATTTCTTTCTTATTTTAATGTTAGATAGGCTAGGCTATAACTAAAATCACTGGATACTTTTTTTTAGCAAAATATCTTTTTATTTCAGAGAAAAATACAAATAACGAAATTCCGTTAAAATCGTCATTTTTAGCAGCAAATTATTGCACGAGTTTGAGGGCTTCGCGTGCAAAAACGAATCACTATCTCGTCTTTTAAGCACTCAAATCTTCTTTTTTGATCTCATAAGACCTCTCAAAATTATTTTTGTAAACATTGCACTCTTCTTTGCGCTTAAAATAATTTAATTTCGAAAGCATGCATTTCTCTTCAGTAAAAATACTTCGTGAATAAAATTAATTCTCACCATGTGCTAAACCTTCAAATGGATTAAGTTTTTGGTGGTTGAATTTCGAAAAGATGTTCTCAATATTACTGTAAAAATTTGTTTGGGCAAATGATTGAGAGAGTTACAATAGCTTTTCAAAGTCCGTTAAAATGCAGTTATTTGACCTTTTGCGGTCAACATTCCAGTTGCGAGTCACACATATTTTAATGTTTCCACCCATATGAGGCCGAAAAATGTACATAGAAAGATATTTCCAAATGCTCTAACCTCATTTGCCGCAGAAGACCGATCCAGAGACCATTTTAGTGTGATTCTCTTGTCGATCGTAGTATTTAGGTCTGTATAAATGATAACGTCCGATGAAACCATCAACCCTGTCGAACACCATCCTGTTGTCAAACGTTCGATATCTTTCTTCACTGTCGCGTCTTATTCAACGGTTCAGTTGACTGCGAGTATTGCTCAGTTTACAAGGCACTAAAAGATTACATCTGACAGTCTAATTCAATGCTAAACTGAGCTGACTACAAACATGTAGGCCCTTTGAGTCTTTGGGTTGTCACGCAATACCGGTGACAAAGGAACTTTAGGGGGTAGGTGAAGGGCAAAACTCCATATAATTAAGCACTATCAGAATTGAACTCTTGGAACCTACAAAATATTTTATTCTGTAAACATTTTTGTAATAGTGTCATCTTTGTCTGGTGACAAACAGTAAAATACATTTATTTATTGCAGGGAATTATTCTTGTTTTTTTGGCGCTCTGTGCCTGTCGTACTTATTAGGGGTGTTTTTCTTTCCACTAAAATTGCAAGAAATACTCTAATAGCATGAAAGAGAACCTTTTGTACATTTTTAAAACACCATGCTTCAAAACGCAGCGGTGGGGATGTGTGGCTTATGTGAGGCTGGGGTGCTATGTTCCGTGGCCAATGGGTGGGGCTAGCATAAGGGAGTGGTATTATTAACCGCTGTTAACAGACCCAACTACCGTCTAAAACCTTAAGCTACAGAGGGGCCGACATATGTGCGCTCGGCACAAAATAAGGTCGATCTTATCTTCAGGACCGGTAAATTTGAAAGCCGACTCACGACTTGCGATATTCTTGGTGCATCAAAGTAAAGGAACAATTTCCGTTTCACGCATTCGATCTCTAGTGTTGTAACCACAAACTCTGCCAATAAGCGACTTGAACGAACAACAACCTTCCATTTTTTATGTAACAAAGTTGACCGTGTAAGTTAATGTATTTGTGAAAAAAAAAGTCCGAAGCCCCGCCTCTAAGCGAACAATAGGCATCGTGTAATTACCATAAACCAGGTTTTGTTTACTAAGGCTTAGTATTTTTAGCAGGTACTAAATTTAGCTTTTCAACGAGTATTAGCCAAAGGTCCGATCTCCGCGACTTTCTCAGCAGCAGAGTGAAGTCTTTTTACTTTCCCCTTCCCCTACCCCCTAAAAAATAACTTTCCATCGTATGATTTGCATTGCGTGACGACTCTCCGTATACAAAACTACGTTGACTGCAACATATGTGTAGTGCCACTTTTAAAAGCATCGATCAGATCTACTGCACCACAAACTGAACAACACTCACAGTCAACTGAACCGCTGAATAAGATGCCACAGTGCAGAAAGATGTCAAACGTTTTATAACGAAGGTTGGTGACAGTTCGCAGATTGACAGGCAGTTTCATCGGACGTTATAAACAAGACGAGCGACAAGATAACCATAGACTAAGGCAAATGAGGTTAGAGCATTTGGAAATGTGTACCATGTACATTTTCCGGCCTCATATGGGTTGAATCATATTAAAGTATGTGTGAGACTCGCAACTGGAATGTTGATCGCGAAAGGTCAAATAACTGCATTTTAACGGACTTTGAAAAGCTTTCGTATCGCTCTCAATCATTTGCCCAAAGAAATTTTTACAGTAATATTGAAAACGTCTTTTCGTAATTCTACCGCCCAAAGCTTAATCCATTTGAAGGTTTAGCACATGCTGAAAATTAACTTTACTCACAAAATACTTTCACTGAAGAGAAATGTATGCTTTCGAAATTAAATTATTTTGCACGCAAAGAGGAACGCACTGTTTACAAACATCGTTTTGTGAGGTCTTATGAGGTTGAAAAAGAAGATTTGAGTGTTAAAAAGACGAGATTGTGATTCGTTTTTGAATGTGAAGCCCTCAAACTTGTGCAATAATTTGCCGCTAAAAATGACGATTTTAATGGAAGTTTGTTATTTGTATTTTTCTCTGAAATAAAAAGATATTTTGCCAAAAAAAGTATCCAGTGATTTTAGTTATAGTCTAGCCTATCTAATATTAAAACAAAAAAGAAATCGAATTTTTCACCCTTGCCGCGAAATTTAGAATTTGTCTGATTTTTACAGACAAGCGCTCTTAAAGGTCAATGCTCAAAAAGTCAAACCTCAAAAAAAAAATACCAAAAAATCTGAATGTGAATCGTTCATTGCGGCCATGTTTTTTGCTCCGCTTTCCATCTTATTTTTTGACATGTTCTACAGTATAATAATGTGGCATAATTTTCGGGTTCCGTTGTCCTTATAACGGGTAAAATGGCTCACAGGATGAATAATAAATCGCTCTCTCTGTCAGCAATAACTTCGATGATGTAAGAGACAGGTAAAGAATGATGGATTTCATGAAATCATACAAATATATAAATGAATTAATAAAATAAAAGCTCTTACATGTCATTTCAGGTAACGCCCTATGCATCAGTAACAGCCACTTTGCAAGGATCTGTATCCGTATGGCTTATAAGGGCTGGGGTATACGGCGACGGACACTTGATAAGCGGAAGTCTTCCAATCAGCGTGTCGTATGATGAAAATCGCCCTTCCTACAGGGATATCTGCGTAGATGTTTCAGCTGACTTACGGATCCTTGAACTGGAAGCCGGTGTCTTCTACCAATGGAAGTCATGTTGGTGGGACTGGTGGAGGCTTAGATGCAAGTGGGGTACTCGACGCACCTTGCACAGTTTTGGCCGATGGTCTGCCTTCAGTTTGAGGCAAAATATGATTAATGAATGTTTCTGATAACACTTTCCGAGGCGGTCCGAGTGTTGTGAACTGTTTAGTTTTTAAAGAACTTTTTAATTGAGTGTCGAAAATAATCCGAGAATGCATTAGTTTTGCCTTACTTTGCTCTATGAATGGTCTAAAAAACTCCGCCACTCCTTCACTGGCGATCTGATGCATAACTTACATCTATCACGACTCGCGGTCACCCACGTTTTCCCGCGCTTTTAGGTGGGCTGCTTGTTTTTACTTTGAGTTTTGTTAGCTCTTCAGGGTGTTTTTATTTGTTCTGATTGGCTTGTGTAATTATTGAGTTGTTTTGGCTTTACGACACTTAATCTAAAAGTGCTTTAAATAAGATTTAGTATTTTCCAGTGTGTTTTTAGAGGTTTGGTTTTTTTCGGATTTGATTAATCTTAAAGTCGAAGTACCTTAGATTAGAGAGAGCATGCGTGGATTCTATTTATGGTTTCCAGTCCAATATTGTGGTCGTATGATCATTATTTCCTAGATCATTTCTACGCGAGATCGAAGCGATTTTTTTTCACCCATTCTGCATTAACAGTGTCAGCGATCGGCAAATCCAAACATATCAGCAATTAAGGTATCTAGGTCGTCAATGATTGTACAAAGCTCTGGTACCATTCTGTTTTTAAAGGGCAGGAACGGAGAAGATGAAGCTTATGACGTCACAAGTCACTTGCATCAACAAATGCTTGTCGACCGGTGATTGATGGCTCTTCATCAGATTAGTTGGATTAACCCTTTACACCCTAACATCAGTATGCATATTCTCCATACTGTTCTCTATAGATTCACTAAGGTGCTGACAAGGAGAATATTTTTTTACATTTAAGAGATTCTTTAGTTGGTGATCATTTCCTTTATCCTTTTGACCTTAATGAGTGATCCAGGAGTGATGTTGAAAGAAGAAACTAGCCGCTGGTCACTCTTAGACTTTAAGGAGTTAAAGAAGATCCCATGTAGTTTCGTAACTATTCGTCTCAGCATTGAGATGATTTATGTACTCAGTGCTTCTCCAAATTGATTAAAAAGCTAAGCAAGTTAATTAAATCATTTA